TATGGCACCATCAGAAGCTATTTTGAGAGCCATTCCAAGGAAAGTGACTCAAGAAATGAATGATGATTTGTTGAAGTCGTTTACCCAAGAGGAGATCTAGATAGCTTTGAAGAAAATGGGACCAAACAAATCCCCAGGAGTTGATGGTATGACAACCCTGTTTTTTCTGAAAAACAGGGATATAGTGGGAGCAGATGTGACAAGGGAACTTCAACAGTATCTGAATGAGGGTGTTTTTCCTCAAACTCTCAATCACACTTTAATTGCGCTCATACCCAAGAAGAAAGTGGTGGAATCACCCGCGGATGTCTGACTTATTAGTCTTTGCAAGGTACTATACAAGATCCTCTCTAAAGTCTTGGCAAACAGACTGAAGGGCATACTAAATGAGGTAATAACAGAGTTCCAAAGTGCTTTTGTGCCTGGTCGTCATATCACAGATAATGTTATGGTGGATTTTGAATATTTTCATTCAATGAAGGGCAGGACACAAGGGAATAAAGGTTTTATGTCAGCTAAACTGGACATTTCCAAAGCTTATGACATGGTTGAGTGGAACTTTTTAGAAGCAATGATGAAGAGGCTAGGTTTTCATGAAAAATGGGTTGCGATAATCATGCATTGTGTATATACAGTATCTTATTCGATTCTAGTAAATGGTCAACATACCTCAACTTCTTTCCTACTCGAGGGTTAAGGCAAGGAGATCCCATCTTGCCATATTTGTTCTTATTCATTGCAGAAGGTCTTTCTGCTCTCTTGACTCAAGTAGAAAGGGAAAAGAAGATAGAGCAAATTCGAGTGAAAAGAGGGGCTCCTTCTATCAGTCATTTGCTCTTTGCGGATGATAGTGTTCTTTTCTCAAAAGGCTACTAAAGATGAATGTGGAAACTTAACGATGCTTCTAAACCTTCATGAGATAGAAAGTGGCCAGAAGATAAATTTGGAGAAATATGAGATTTCTTTCTCTCCAAATGTTGATGGCTACAAGAGACAGGAGCTGGGAGGGATTATGGGCATGAGAGTGGTCGACTTCCATCATAAATATTTAGGTCTTCCAACAGTGATAGGAAGACAAAAGAAAGCAGTCTTTAGCTACTTGGTGGACAGGGTACGTAGAAAGGTATAGTTGTGAAAAAGTAAATGCTATCCTATGGGGGTAAAGAAGTTCTAATTAAGGCAATGGCACAAGCACAAATGAACTATGTTATGCAAGTTTTGTTGATTCCAGTGACAATTAGGGATGGCAATTTTGCCCATACCCATGGGTATTTTACTATCCAACCCAATTGGGTTGGGTATGAAATCCAAATATATGGATATGGGTAAAGTTTGATGGGTTTGTACCCATACCCATTTACTTTGGGTTGGGTTGGGTTTTAACAAATGGATTAGGGTTTATACCCATGCCCAAATACAAATTACAGTTTGGTACCTAAACTTAATAGATATGCATATTTAGTACCTAAATTTAATTTTTTTTTGCATATAAGTCCTCAAAATATCGATGGAAAATTACGCTTTGGTACCTAAATTTTTTTGGTCTTACATTTTGGTACCTAAAATTTTCAAGTTTTACAAATAAGTCCAATTTTTGCATGTGTAGTTAAAACACACTCAAGTAAATGGATATCCATATCCAACCCATACCCATTTAGATAATATCCATATCTAACCCAAACCCATATACAAACCCCAAACCCATACACACATCACCCAAACCCTACCCATAATAAATGGGTCTACTTGGGTTTGGGCAAAATTACCCATGGGTGGGTAAATTGCCATCCCTAGTGACAATTAAGAAGGAGATTCAGAGTCTGATTTCCAACTTCTGGTGGGGTCAATAGGGAGAATGAGAGACGAGGGCAGAACGCATTGGATAAGCTGGAAGAATCTGTGTTTACCAAAATCTAAGGGAGGCGTAGGTTTCAGGAATCTACATGATTTTAATCTAGTTCTCTTAGGAAAACAACTCTGAAATATCATTCAGAATCCTTCTTCACTAATGACAAAGGTTCTAAAAGCAAAGTACCATCAAAATAGAGACATCATGGAAGCGGAAGAAGGCTATAATCCCAGTTACTTATGGAGTAGTATCCTAGCGGCTAAAGGAGTGGTCAGGCAAGGGTTAAGATGGAGGCTTGGAAATGGAGACAAGATTGATATATGGCATGAAAAATGGGTACCCTCAGCATCGAATTACAAAGTGGAATCTCCTCTAACTCAATTTTCTCCTACCACTTTAGTTGGAGAGTTAGATCTGTTCCCAGTTGATAGGAATGTAAAGCTCGCCCTATTCTTCCTCCTATCTAGTGGTCCAAAATCTGTATGCTGATTTCACATAATAGTGACCTGACTTCCCCCCCCCCCTCTTCCAATCCTTTAAATATTCCCCCTAAAGTTAAGGTTTTGGCTTGGAAATGGATCAAATCTATTCTTCCAACAGGAGCCAAAAATGTTGATCGAATTGATAAGGGGTGTGATGAATGTTTTTTTTTTGTGGGCTAAGAGAAACCCAAAAGCATCTTTTTCAAGAATGTGGATGGGTTCGTCGAGTCTGGCAACCTAGTTCTCTCTGTTCTTTGTTCGAGAAGGGGGAAGATCTTACCAGTGAGGAATGGATGGCAAAACTGCAGGTGACTATTTCAGAGGAGCTCCTTAGCAAATTTCTTGTGGCTCTCTGGTTTATCTGGGAAGAATGAAACATTCAGTTATGGAACAAGAAGAAGCTTGAAGAATTTGAAATCATGACAAAAGCCGAGAGATGGATTGAGGAATACCATGAGTATCAACAATAGATTGAAGGAGGTCGGGAGAAAAAGGAATATCGTTGGCAACCCCCTCTCTCTGGTCTAATGGACACCGGAAAATGACGAAATGCTTGGCAATTAGATGGGGAATTAATCTAGCAATGGAGCACGGGTTTGGACAGTGTGAAGTTGAGACAGATTGTTTGAGTGTTGTCCAGAAATTGCGAAGAGAGAAGAATGTGATGACTGAAGAAGGCGTTCTATGCGAAGAACTGCGAGACCATTTGAACCACTTGGGCTCGGTCCGAGTGGGCTTTTCAGGCTGGAATAGTAATAAAGCATCTCATTAATGACCCATACTGCCGAGTGGACTTTTCAGGCTGGAATAGTAATTTTTCTTGTTTCCCAGCTCTTAGCTGATTACTATAATAATACAGGCTTTTCTAAAAAAAATTGTTCCATACAATATCATGTCGACATATAGATCAATTTGGTTCAATTGTCTCAAAACAATATAATTTTTTCAAATCTAAAAAACTCATGAAAGTATTTTGAGGGGAATATGGTTTCTAAAACATCAAAATTGGTTACACTTGTATAATGAATTTGGGTCATTGCCATTTGCCATAGACAGTATGTATGAGTGGTATAATTAACTACGAACGTGGAAAAAACCCCTCCTGCAAGCACATTCTTAAAATAAAAACTATTGAGATCTGATATTTCGGGTGACTGAACACATGACATTGTTTTATAGTACATTTTTTTTATCTGAAGCAACAAAAACTGAATCAGATCTTTTGTTTTTTCTCACTCGATTATTACTGGATTATTCAAAATAAAATTATCAAATTCTCGGTTTAAGTCGACACTATTAGTGCGAAACGATTCAAAATTATTAACTTACACCAACAATAAGAGCTCAATAATACGACTTTCTGATATTCTGTTAATCAACAAATCAAATCCGAACTAAAAATCTTAACTGTAAGCATCAATAGTATGGCGTGAAGGAAATATCATGGTATAACTTAGGGGTGTTCAAACGGTGTGGTTACCGGGGTAACCTTTTTATCGGTAGTATTTGGATAATTTGGTTTGGTTAATTTGGATAACGCTTTGATTTGGTTAAATTTTTTAGCTTGTTTGGTTTAGGTGGTTTGGTTTCAGACACTCCTAACCAATTAAACCAAATTAACCAGTTAAGTCATTAATCATAGATCTCATAAATATTATATACACATACTTAATACTTTGCATAACCACTCAAGTGTTAAACGTTCCTCCCTCTTAGGCTCATTAAAAAATAATGTTCAATGATGTTCCTATATTGTATATGTGTATTTGTAGAGTGTAGACCACAACATATGGACTCCTAATTTATATAAGACTCATACAATATGTTGGATGAAAACTTGAAAAGAAGTTCTTTTCAATCTATGATAATTGCTAAGAGAATAAGTCAATTTACAAAACACAACAATTCATTAACCTCATACCATTGACATATACTTTTGTTACGTGAATACATCTATTGATAGTACGATAATTGTATTAGTTACATGTATTTATGTTAAGGGTTAACTATAACTATGTGTTGGTTGTTATATTTTTATTCATTATATAAATTATGAATTGATGCATTAACCGAAGATTTTCTCACATAATGATATTTTGATGTTATATTGGTTAACCAATTAACCAAATTGATTAAACTTTAGTTTGATTAATTTGGTTTTTGTATTAGTTTGAACTGTGGTTATAATATTGCATTTAATAATTAATAAATTTTAGACTTATTTGGTTTGGTAGTTATCATGGTAATTATTTTAACACGCATAGCTTATCCTTAGAAACATGATGTCCCATTAAGTCTGTTATCATCTTTTATAAAGTTTCGAACTCGAGTAGGATTTTTACATAATGAGGGAATCAAAAGAATGTAGAAAAGGTGTTCAATGTTAGTGGGTCACCCTTTTGTTGTTTTATTAAAAGCGGGAAAAAATAGCAAGTTGAATGGTCAAAAAGGAAGTGCCCCAAAGCCCAACCCCAACCTCGTAATGGGACTTTTACACAGTAGTGGACAATCACCAATTAATTAACACCTAGCAGACACGATTATGTCCTGTAAATCACCGATAACATTTGGTCAATTTGGAAAACAGATGTAATTAAGTATAGCTTTTTCAATCATAATTAGCGAGAATTTAAGCAATTCTAAAAACCCAAAAAATGAAAAATAATAATACAAAAAAGGCGAGAAATCAAATTGGAAATGAAAAAGCGGAAAAAAGAAGAGGGAAAAATATATAAATAAAACAATAAAGAAGAGGGAAAAAATAAAAAAGAGAAAAGAAAAAGGGTGGGAGAGGGAGAGGAGAGAGAGAGAGACGCGATGAATTGATGCCATTATACGCTGAACTTTTCCTCCTCCACCACCAACGCCTATGGATCTATCGTCTTCTCCCTCCCTTTCTCTCTCCGCTGTCTGATCGCCCCACCATCAATTTCCTCCCCCGCCGCTTCTGCCACCGCATACCTTCTTCCCGGAGGTCGTTTCCCGCCTTCATCGGTATGCCCTCGCATCTTCCTCCGATTCACCCTTCTCTCTCTCTCCGTTTCTCTTCCTTTGACTTTTGTCCTCCTACCGTTCCTCCTTCTCCCTCTCTCTCTCCGCTCGGTTTTTTGGGGGGTTTAGATCGGCCTGGAGATGGATAGATCTTGTTCCTGTTTGATTCTCTCGTTCCTTTCCTTCCTGGACGCAGCCTGCTCTGTCTGTCCTTTGCTGCTTCACGAACTACCCTTCCGCTGTTCAATTCGTTTCTATGAACCTCCGTTTCTTCAGTTGACGTGTTTTCTTTTTGGCTGTATGTTTCGTGGTGGTCTGAGGATCTGTAGTGTATTTTTTTCTTTTTTTCTTTGGCGTCTGTATTGGCTCCGCCCGCGATTTGATTGAGTTGGGTCTAAGGTGGAATGGGGATTTTTGGAACAAATAAGAGTTGGTAAACCAATAGTTTAACTTTTGGCGGAGATGGAATTTCATACTTACCCTATGATGGGTTCAGGGGGATTTGTATGGCAATTAATGCCCTTGCTAATTTTTGTTTTTCCCCCCTGTTCTCAAGATTGATGCTTTGTTTATTTTCGCTATAGATTTGAGAGGTGTGTGGCTTAGGGTCTTCAGGTGCATTACGGTACGCGGGTTGTCCATCTCTTTCTGCTAATGCTTTCGATGGTATGGCAGGTAATGCAATGTCCTGTTGAAAGGGAACTGTAAGCGCACAACAAAGGACAGGGGGTGCCCGAACCAATGACTTCTGTGGGTATGGTACCCACTTCTGGTTTGAGAGAAGCTACTACTCATAATGCAGCAGGCGTTGACAGGTTACCTGAAGAGATGAATGACATGAAAATTAGAGATGATAAAGTAAGACGTTGTTCTCTTGAGTTTTCATTTTCTTACCATCACCTTTTTTTTATGTTTCATCTTACTTATTAGCTATTGTTCTTCTGTTTGCAATCGTTTGCAGGAAATGGAAGCAACGGTGGTTGATGGAAATGGAACGGAAACTGGTCACATTATTGTAACGACAATTGGTGGTAGAAATGGCCAGCCAAAGCAGGTGAATTTTTGTTGCGCTTCTTTGTGATGCATCTCTATATAGTCTTCGTTACATACTTGCTCCTATGCTCCTTGCTTTTCCTTACTAACTCTGCAGTCTTATCTGAATTGAAATGCAGACTATCAGCTACATGGCAGAGCGTGTTGTAGGCCATGGATCATTTGGTGTGGTTTTCCAGGTATGGTTGCAGTTTTCATTGAAATTACCCCGGTATCTTACTTCAAGTTGATACTTTTTTTCCTATTTAACCATTGAGTTATCTCAGGCTAAATGTTTGGAGAATGGAGAAACTGTTGCAATAAAGAAAGTCCTTCAAGACAAGAGGTACAAGAACCGTGAGTTGCAAACCATGCGCCTGCTTGACCATCCCAATGTGGTCGCTTTGAAGCATTGCTTCTTCTCAACAACTGAAAAGGATGAACTTTACCTCAATCTTGTTCTTGAGTATGTCCCTGAAACCGTGCACCGTGTGATCAAACACTACAACAAGCTGAATCAGAGGATGCCATTGATCTATGTGAAGCTTTATGCATACCAGGTCTGAACCATATTGCCTTACCTTGGGCTTGCTATGTAAATATATGTGTAGCTCGTGTAGTTGTGAGCCTATAGTGCATCGAGCCATATGCTGGGCTGAATGACGGCACTGGTGGCCTCCTGAAAGCTTAAATTTTGATGTGGCTTCGGGTATTTACTTCTGAAGCTATGCTTTGGGCTAATCTTGACCTGTCGTTGATGATGTTTTTCAGATATTCAGGGCATTGTCATACATCCATCGCACAATTGGAGTATGCCATCGGGACATTAAACCTCAAAATCTTTTGGTATGCACAATGTTCTTTTGTAGTTTGTATGTATATGATATGATATGATATGATATGATATGATATGATATGATATGATATGATGAGATTAGATTGTTTCCAGCTTTCATTTTATCTTCTACTTAATCACATGAGGGTTGATCAATTGGTGTAAGTTCTTTGTTGTGGAAACCATCCTTGACTTTTAGCGAGTCCAAGTATCTTCATCTGATCTGTGTATTGTGTTGGTGCAGGTAAATCCACATACACATCAGGTTAAGTTATGTGATTTTGGCAGTGCGAAGGTCTTGGTAAGTCCTTTGGTGCCTTCTTTATGTTATTGCCTGTGTTTTGGTGATAAAGTTCCAGCCTTATTAACATTTGATTGGGTCTTATCAGGTGAAAGGGGAACCTAACATAGCTTATATTTGCTCGAGATATTATAGAGCTCCTGAGCTTATATTTGGAGCGACTGAATACACTACAGCTATTGACATTTGGTCCGCAGGTTGTGTTGTTGCCGAGTTGCTACTTGGACAGGTGTGATATTTTCCATGTAGTATGCTTACTAAACATCTATCTGTTATCCAGCTAATAAATTTATTATTTGTGATTTTTGCAGCCTCTATTTCCTGGTGAAAGTGGAGTTGACCAGCTTGTGGAGATTATCAAGGTAACTCAGTGTTTTAGTTTCTCTCTATCGTCCAAGGTCTACAAAATTTGGTTGTTACTGATTGATTGTTATTCTGAATGTGATAATTCGGTGTTTTAGTTTCTCTCTATCGTCCAAGGTCTACAAAATTTGGCTGTTACTGATTGATTGTTATTCTGAATGCGATGTGTGCTGTTTGTTTTGCAGGTGTTGGGTACTCCAACAAGGGAAGAGATCAAGTGTATGAACCCAAACTATACGGAGTACAAATTCCCTCAGATCAAGGCTCACCCCTGGCACAAGGTAAGCATGAATGCTCTTGCTGTTGGTTCCTTTTATGTCTCAGCTGATGGTCTACTTACAATTCCATGGTACTGTCTGTAGGTATTCCACAAGCGCATGCCTCCAGAGGCAGTTGATCTTGTCTCAAGACTCCTGCAATACTCTCCCAACTTACGGTGCACAGCTGTAAGTACTTCATTGCATCTTTTTGCCTGTGATTTGGACATCAATTGCGTCTTGGAAGTTCTTTCAAGTTGTGGTATTAGTGGTTGCAACTAATCTATTGCTTTGGCGCTGTAGCTGGATGCTATGACACACCCTTTCTTCGATGAGTTACGAGACCCAAACACACGCTTGCCAAATGGACGGTTCCTTCCACCGATATTTAACTTTAAAGCTCACGGTACGTGGAAAAAGGCCACATAGTTACACGTTCAGTCCATCCATGCTTGAATCATTGGTTGTTAAGTTTCTTACCGCGACTTGTGTGTGGCAGAGATGAAAGGGGTGCCTGGGGAGACCTTAGTTAAGTTGATACCAGAGCACGCGAGGAAGCAGTGTCCGTTTGTTGGATTATGATCTCACACTGTAACAAAAGCTCAGCAGGTGTTCCGGGGATTGTTGTGACGTGCCAGTGCTGCTACCTACATTGTCTCAAGTTGGAATCATCATCAGCTTATTATATAATGATGTTAAAATTTGGTTCTCTTTGTGGTTCGTGTGATATAATTTTTGTTGTTGTTTAGAAAAGGAAAAGAACAGCATATTTAGTGAAATGCCTGCTTTTAATGTTTGTGCAAACCCCGACGATCCCCTTCTTATTCTTCTACCACTTGATGTATCCTGACTCTGTTTGTTCTCCCTGGTCGTGGGTCATAAGTGATTTGTAACAAAGCTTACTGTAGTAGTGAAAAGACCCGAATGACAAATCTCATTTGTTATCTTCTTCAGTCTAATGTAACTTTGTATCAGGGGTAAAAAGTTAAAAGCACGTAAGAGTGGAACTATGAACACTTGTGTGGTTTGATCATAGTGGTGTTCACGTCGTTACAGGTTAATGGATTTCGATCAATAAACATGGTTTTGTTTAAGATTTTATGTCCGAGTAGCTAATACATTGCTAATGCACATATCTGTTACATTCTTCTGCCTCTCTTTCGCAGTAGACAATCCAATCCAAACTGCTCTGGCCTCTGCTTCCTTTACCTCACACCTGAGTCTTTCCCTCTTTATGAAGCCAAATACCAAATTCCCCCATTCATCCCCAACCGCACCTCCAATTCCAATCCCCTCTTCTCCCAACAACCCGACATCGGTTTTCAACTTAACCTTACTCCTTGCTGGCTTCCTCGATCGATCTTCAATTTGGATCGGTTCTGATGACCCGGGTCGGAAGTTCTCTGGACTTCCCGATAATCATACACCAACATGCAGAGCGTTGCGCAATCTCTCCCGCCTCCAGTTTGATATTATTTTGGTAATGATCGTTTCGCTCACACCAGATGAATCAGAGGAGATAACAGAAATTCCAAATCATGAAGACCGCATAAAGGACATTCCTCCGAGGCCTCCTTGATGAATTTTTCAACCACCTGTAGGTAAGATATTCCTTCCCAATCTCGACATAAACTGTTTTAATGTTAGGTGGAATCTGTAATTTCAACAGGGTTAGCCAGAATATAGAGATTGGTAACTCCTCCTCATGTTGCTCTCTATGTTCATTGCCTCCGTTTAGTCTTCGGTAAAGTTGTTTGAAGGTTTGTTTGGGCCGCCTAGAGTTGAAATAATAGCGCATCTTCCGTTACTTGAAAGGTACACCTACTCTAGGCCTATGGTATCCTAGGGAAACAAATCATGAGCTTATAGGGTTTAGTGATTCAGACTTTGCCGGCAGTAGAACAGATAGAAAAAGTACCTCTGGAACTTGTCAATTTTATGGTCGATCTTTAATTTCGTGGTTTAGCAAGAAACAACACTCTGTAGCCCTCTCCACCGCTGAAGCTGAGTATATTGCCGCAGGAAGTTGTTGTCAACAACTTCTATGGTTAATGACTCAACTAGCGGACTATGGGATTACACTTCCTACCGTTCCCATTTTATGTGATAATACGAGTGCTATTAATATGTCCAAAAACCCGGTTCAACAATCTAGAACAAAACATATAGAGATTAAATACCATTTCCTTCGAGAGCTAGTTCAGAGTAAAACCGTGTCTATTTCTTTTATATCTATGAGTGATCAACTAGCGGATATTTTTACTAAACCACTCAGTTCCTATTTATTCGTAGTGAGTTAGGAATGATTTTCCAATCCGATCTTGTCAGTTTTGAATCCTGAACTTACTTTTTCTTGAATATTCGTTCACTTCTTTGTCTTTTTGTGTTGATCTAGTACCCTCTCTAATAAAGTTTGATAATAAACCTCACTAACGACATAACATATAAAAAAAATAAAAATAAAAAAATAAAAACGAAAACGAAAATAAAAACGGCAATCCCCGATGCGCGACGACCTCGTCTCTTCCAGTGAGGTCTCGAAGCTTTCCAACGCGACCCTTTCCCCTTCTTCTCCGATTACGATTTTCAATCTATCCTCATCGCCGATTCTCGCCCAGCGATCCCCCTTCCCATTTCCTACACACCCAATCGCGCTCCTTCACCAATAATCAATTCCCAATTGCGCTCCTTCCCTTTCCGCCTTCCTTCCCAAAATCGCCGCCTATGAGAAACTCGAGCTCTTCCGACGAAAACGCCGGTGCTCCTGCATCTATATTTAATGGCCTTTCTCCATTTCTCTTCGCATCCCTCACCGCATCACCACTCCTTCTCGTTACCTGGCTAAACCCGCAATCATGTGCCTTCTTCCGTCGCCAGCAGCGTATTCTTACCTACACCGGTGCGATGTTTCACCCTCCAGTGGGCGAAAATCGTCATCGCCATATGCAAATTTTTGCTGAGAAGCCCATCCTGCCGATCAACACCCTAGATCCCTATGCTTTTTCCTTCCTCAATTCTGTGGATACAATCTCCCTCATTGATAGTCTTGGGTGGCCCGAAATGGGGGATTCTCCACCTCGTGTCTACTGCCCAACAGCAGTTCGGGCGTTCTACTCTAATCTTCGCACAGATGGCCTGGAGACACGGAAGTTGACCACCTTGGTGTTTGGTAATCTTCTTACCACCTCGGCAAGAAGCTTATGAGTTCTCTGCATTTCTAATCGTACAAGTTTGATTTGCACCAGGCTGCCATGAATCGTCCTCTTGCAGAGTTGGACGATTCTCTCAAACTTCTTCATTATTACATCACTAGGAGGTATTTTCCACGGACAGATTCCCTGAATATCGTCCTCCCTCATGATTGCTGGATTATGTTGCATGCTGTCTCCGACATGTTTCTCAGTTATCCTCATATGCTGTTTGGAGCGATCATAGATGCTGCTGCCAACGAGTCTCCTGCGGCTGGTCTGAGTTTTGCTGGCGTGGTTACTCAGCTGCTTCATCGTGTGGGAGTTCCTCTCACTGACTTTGTCTTTTCCACTACTGACTTTGTCAGTCCCACTCTTGATGTTCTCGGGGCTGTCGGGCCCCCCCTCCTCATTGATTTAACATCAGGGGGAGAAGCTGTGGTGGACGCACCTAATGGATTCAATGGAGAGGGAACTGCTAAAGGCGGCGCGTCCGCGGAAATTGCTGCATCTGCTTCCACCTCCATTCGCCATTCAAGCTTAAATGCCAGGCCAAAGGACCTCGTCCTTCTAAGAAAGTGCTTAAGCGTCTCAAAGAACAGAATGCGTCCAAGGGAGTGGTTATGTATGAAAATCAGGATCTTGATCAAAACAATTAAGAGCAATAGTTTAGGGGGAGTTTGTAATAAGACTCTTAGAGGGAGTATTTGGAAATTGTTTCGGTTTTTTTTTTCTAGTTTGTCAAATTAACTGCGAATGGTCTCAATAATGCCCTAAGCTATGCTTAGGATGAATGAAACTTTTAAAACCCTGGGCTATACTCAGGATGAATATCATGGTCTATATCATTTGAAGTTTCTATTTATTAGTTGAATGAGTATTGAGATCTGTGATGGCTATATGGAAAAGCATATGCTGCAATAGGATGCTAAATCAAGCTTAGGGGGAGATTGTTGAGTCAAAAAGCTTGACTTAGCAATTTTATGTTGTCTTGAATATGTGCTTTTATTTTAGACTAACATTTCTTGCATAAATATCACAATCAAGGTCTTGAAAAGATTTGCTAAGAAAAGGAAAGAATTCAAAGCAATTGATTGGCTTTCAAGAAGCTACCATATCAAATCAAGGAGATACTTGCCATATAAAGGACTACAAATGAAATGAAATGAAGTTTTGCTTTCACTATAAATAGGAGAGTCATTTGTAGTTTAGAGTACCTTTTGCAAAGTTCTCTTCTCCCTTGTAATAGCAAAATTGTGTGATCATATTTCATGGTGTAAATAGCTTGATATCTAGGGGGTTGAGATATTCAAGCTAGGTCGGGTTTTAGGGAAGAAAGGGTATTTGTAATTGGGACTAGTGCAAGAGCAAGAGGGGATTCTTGCTTGGGAGTTGCACTAGGTGGATTACTCTTCAATCAAGTCAAACTAAGAGTGTTAGCTTGATTGATTGAGTGGGTAGCTTAGCTTGGATTTAGCTAAGGGTTGAATAGGTGTGGAGTTGCACCTATTTGGTTCTTGACACGAAGTGTCAAGGTTGTTTCAATTTCATAGGTTAGAGAGTCTTTTATTTTAATAAAAGTTAGAGTCTCTCGTGAGATAGTGGTAACTATCTCCGGGACGTGGATGTAAAGCCATATTGGCCGAACCATGTTAAAATTGCGTGTCCCGACTCATCTCTCTCTCTATACCTTCTCAACTTTGTTCTCTTCATCAGTGCCAACAAATTAATCACTTTAAGAGAGATTCTTGGCAAGTCCTTTTGGATTGCTCAATCAAGCTAGTGCTAATCTCTCACTATTGAAATCAGAATTAATTTGTGCACTGACCACGTCAAAAGTATTCATTATTGACCTCTCTTGGTCCAACAAGTGGTATCAGAGCCCGGCTCCCTCAAAAAGATCAAAAGATCTGCGAGGAAACTGAGATCCGATATACCAAGCATGGCTAGTGGGTCATCTACAAATCATGGTTCTAATTCTACTCATATGGAGGGTCTTTCATATGTTAGACCACCATGGTTTGATGGATACATCTATTCCTTTTGGAGAACACGTATGATTGTTTTCTTTAAAGGGATGGGTTTTGACGTTTGAAATGTGGTTGAGAATGGTGTGGGTTATATCAAAGATGATCCCAACACATGGTCTAACGATGATCTAAAGAAGATGGAGTTAGATGCTAAAGCAACAAATGTCTTATATTGTGCAATATGTCCAGATAAATTTAATAAGGTGAACAGGTGCAAGACGGCACATCAGATCTGGAAAACCTTTGAAGTATCACATGAAGGGACAACTGAGGTAAAAAGAATCCAGGATATATCAATTGGTGCATGAATATCAAATGTTCAAAATGCACTCAGGTGAGTCTATTTCTGATATGTATGTTCGTTTTAACTTAAAAGTAAGTAGACTTAGTGCGTTAGGAAAAATTTATTATAATGCTGAACTGGTCAGGAAAATTCTTTGGTGTCTACCCAAAGAATGGATGCCTAAGAAAACTGTCATAGAAGAGGCTAAAAATCTATCTACTCTTAGTATTGAAAATTTGATAGGATCTCTAATTAGTCATGAAATTGCCTTAAAAGCTCAAGGTGATGAGAATAATGACAAGAAAAATGAAAGTTTAGCATTCAAGGCTTGCGAGAAGAAAGTCACAAATGATGAAGGATCGGGAGATGATTTCGATCAAGGATTTGCTCTCATTTCAAAAAATTTCAAAAAAGTGTTTAAAATTAGAAAGAAAACAAGGAAGGGGTAGTTCTCTCTTTTTTCGTGAGAATAATAGAAATGGAAAGGTAAAATCTTTTGATAATCAAAAGAAGAAAAATAAAGTGAAAAGTGAGTGTGAAGATCAAGGTTTACCAAAATGCTACAAATGTGGAAAGAGTGGTCATGTAAGGGCTGAATGT